GTCCTGACTGTGATGTTGGACTTTGCTTATCTCCGTGTTTTAATATTTATTATGCCAAAGCTGAATTTTGAAAAGAAATAAAAATGTAAGCATTTAAAAAATGCGTGCTTTTTCCTAAAATTTATTCTCTGTAAAGTGGAGGCCACCAGCGACCGAGCGGTAAAGTCGTTGAACACTGGTAGTTCCAGTGTCAGCGACCTAGTTTGGTCCGAGGTTCGTAACCCGCGAACGGGCTGGCTGCATGGGTGTTTTCGTGGTTTTCCCCATGTGTAACGTGTATACGAGCCAATTTCTCTTAGAAAGTCCTCCACGAAGGCATTCCTCCCCTTAGGCAGATAGCCCTCGAGGATTTGACCTAATTAATTAACCTAACCTAACCTAACCTCTGTAAAGTGGTTTTCTAGTTTTTCCGCTTCGTTGTAAAAAAGTCAACTTTAAGTAAAAGTGCCTTATTTTCGCCGTAATTAAAAATTATCTTAAATTAAGGAATGCAATTCTTGAAAACAGTTTTAATTGCTGATTTAAATTCATATAATTAATTTGAATACAATTTTTTTTTGCAAAAAGTATACTTATTTTTTGGTCAAAATATGGCAGAAAAATGAAACTTGTAAGTGGTTAAATAGAATTAATAAAACTTTTACATCATTTCTTGCTGATGACATACTGCAAAGTTCAATGGCATATCTTTCAGATGCATTCACAATACTAAGTAAGCCAAATCTCTGTCTATAAGGTGATTCTTTGACTGCCATGTGCAAATAAAGGAATTTGAGAGAAAAGTTGGCTTGTGGGTTAGTTGTGCAAAACAGAACGACTGCGACTTTTCACTATTTCCAAACTTAAAATCTTTTTGAGTAGAAAGTAATATCATTATTGGGAAAGATTTATGCAATAATATATGTTCTCATCTTGAAACTCTGATGTCAGAGTTTGAAATTTATTCTCTTATTATCTGATAAATATAACTAATTTCTATGCGTTCGTGATCTGATCCGTTACTATAACGAAAACAACCAGTTTATGCTGAATGAAAGCGAACAATTAATTAAATTCTCGAATAACACCAGACTTAGAATGGATTCCAAGCAGAAGGTAATATCTGAACTTCATTACCATTGAAAATGGAATGTAGCAAATTGTAAAATGATGCTTTAAAAATTAAAATTCAGTTTGCTTCTACGTATCTATGTGAGAAAAGGGTTTCATCATTAACTAAAATAAATACAAAATTTCAAAATTAACTTAATGCATGCTCCTATATCCCACTTAAGTTTAGCAAAATACATCCAAACATAGAACACAGTACAAGAATCGGCATCACCAGGCTCATCAATCTCATTAAAACAACACTTACTTATTTTCAGTTTATAAAGTATAGAGTATCAAGATACTTGAATTAAAAACCAATGTAAATTGGCGTGGATTAATTTAATTTTTAGCATCAATATGAAATTTAATGAATTTTAATTAATTGCAAATTAAAAACTCTGGTATGCGAAAATTAAAAAAGTGCTAAAAAATTGCTTTCGAAGAAAATAAGAGTAAGATTATCAGGACTTGTGTTCCTCTTTTTTCTGCTTTGGAAACATGAACTGTCCTGACTCGGAACAGGGAGCTTACTCAAGCTATGTTCAATAATTTGTGAAGTAGACAATACACACAGGAAGGGTATACGAAACCCTTTATTTTGCTATCTTTACAGAGATTTCCGGACTTCGGAATACAGAGACCAACCACTTGTGGTCTGAACGTAAGAGTATAAAAATATTAACTAAAACTCTAACTAAACTAACTTTGGATTAATATACAAGTGCCTACCTTAAGATTGGCCGTTAATTAACAAAAAGCCGTATGTAGTACAGAGAGCTGCTAAAACTACGATACGTTTAAAATTATCAAGAGGATTAAACCTCTGGCCTTGAAGGCAACCAGCAAACGAGGTGTAAAACTTCTATGGCCAGCGGGCCTGCTTCTAATAACTCCTTCCTCTCTCTTGCTTGGCAAAAAGCCACAACTTAAGTACTTGGCGTTAGCAAGACAAATTTGCATAAATAAGTAAAAGCTTTTAATTCTGGCCGGAAGTAGAAAATAAGAAGTGATAGTAAAGATTTAAAATAAAATAAACGTTAGTAAAACTTAGGATCCTTACAAGATGGTCAATAGAATTTCATTACTAATAAACGCGGTCCCCACCTGGAAAACGTTTAAGAAAAGCTGATGTAAACAATTTGGAAAGCGATTTCTGAATTTTGTTTTGATTGACCAAAAGGCTCTAAATCCAAACTCTCAAATGTTTCGTCTATGAGATGACCATAGTAAGTGCCTTTCGCCAAGTGTTGGGAACGTCTTCATTAGCGAAGACCAGTATTGTTCCAAAGTAGTGCTTTCCAGCTGCATTTCAAGAACGCGATTTGTGCTCAGTTCTGAAAGAACTGCCTTCTGTTCTTAATCATCTGACATATTACCCAAGTTGAAAGAGTATAAGTTTCTAATCCGTGTTTCTGAAGATGTCAGTTCTCCTCCTTTAATATACAAATCAATGAATTTATGATACTTCGAAATTATCCATAATTTCTTCATATACACTAGGAATTAGAGACTTACTATTAGCAACCATTTATTCGAGCGACGAAAAATTAAAAAGATTCTCTCTTCTAACTCGTCGACACCAAAGTTGTAACATTTCTTTGAAACCATTTATCTTCCATCAGCATGTCATTATGTTTACCCTTTTCCTTTGAATACATCTATTCAGGTCATTCACATGAGTGTAAATATTACTCAAAAAGGATAAATTTAGCTGAGATCTAGCGATTTTATTTGTCCAACCTGGTAATAGTCTCGTTCAGTTATAAATGTTTTACTTCTTTCAGGTTAAGAAAGCGTGTTAAAGCTTTCCAACGTGACAGCCAGCAGTCTTCTATATGGAAAACCAAACACGAATGTTCATTTCAGATCTTTCATAAAACAAATTAAAGAGACGGTGGTTCAGAGCGCAAATTTGTTATCATCATATGCACAGGAGATATGTTTTACAAGCTTTCCGTTTATTTTAAACAAAAAATGAAAATATTATGTTGCATCCCTTGGAGGCGCGACCACCCCTGGTTTGGAACATTTGCCTTACACAAACGAAACGCCGTTACCTGAAAATGTTAGGGAAGAATACAATGCCATATGTCAGCGACAAATTCTCATAAAGATTTTTAAAAATATAAAGACTTATTGCCGGCTAGGAAGATCGCGTCGGTGCTCTTATAATGATAATAATATTTGACAATCTTCAAAAAGATTCAAATGCTATGCAAGATATTCAGTTATTTATATAGCAGCAGCCCTGTGAAGACGTTCCTCATAAAGGCGTTCTATTCAGATTAGTCGTTCATCCGTTATTGCCTGGCTTCCTCAATCTTCGGATTTGATGACTGCGAATTTATGGTTGTGGAGTTATTCGAAGTTCTATGCGGATACCAATGGCCTGTTACCTCCAGCACTGTGAAAGATGCTATTTTCCGTAAAAGTTTGTTAATGCATATAATTATTATCGTATCAGTAGACCCAAATTTTCTCATAAATCAATGATAAGATCAGTTGCAAAATTTGTTTTTCTGTTGTGGGATACAATTAATAATAAATACCGAGTCACATTATATAATGTATGAATAAGCGAGTGTTTAAGCAAGATTTCATTCATTAAATATTATTGGTATCAATCACAATTCAGTAAAAAACAGATCCTTCAAAATTCTAGGTAAGCTAATGAAGAAAGCTTGCTTACCTTTATGCTCCGCGTTCTTCGATTCTGGTCCGCCGCTTTGTAAGACTATCCGATTTTGCTTTAAAATCTCATCTAAAATTGACACTATTTTTCTAGAATTACTTTATTTGACATTTCACACAAAAGATGAACAATACCTAAATCATTACAATATCAAAAACACTTCTAACTACTTAGCGTCATTGTTCTACATATCTAAAAGCGTCATTATTCTAAAAGCATATACTATTTGCTTGTTCTCAAAACTTGCCAGTTCTCAAAAGACAAACTTTCTTTTTCGATTCTCGTCTGTCTGTAGGCTCAATCCGTTTCCCAAGAGCGGAGCGTGCGTCGTTCGCGACACACTCCTCCCGATGAGTTTCACTAAGTTGAAACTCAGCCACAGTCTGGTTGAAAGTTCATGAGGTCTAATCGTTCAGGGGGTCGAATCACTCGTCCACATCTAGTTGTTTTGAGGGGATTCTGATTGAGTTCATCTGACTGATCTTTGTCAGTGGCACGAAAATCTGTAGATCCAATAGAAGTTGTAGGCTTATCACACATTTTTTGATCAGAATGCTTCTTTCTCAAACAGTCTCCTATATTATCCGTTTGTAAATGGACTTCCAACGGATAAATTCGTTGTATGGGTCGAAGGATTTCGCCACTTTTGGTGCGTAATTTTACTAAACGAACTACACCATCATTTCCTGGGATGAGTGTTATAATTTTTCCTAGAGGCCACTTAATTCTTTTCTCAGGTGTTTCTATTAACACAATGTCTCCAACCGATAGTTTAACATATTTCTCTGTTTTTAAAATATGGTTTTTCAGTTGTCCTAAGTATTCAGTTCTGAACCGTTTTCTTAGATCTTCTCTAACCTTCATCTGATATGCATACCTTTTTTGTAAGTATTTGGCATCAATAATATCTAGATCTGGAACGCCTTTCTTTTCTTTAGATCACGAAAAACATTGCAGGTGTCAAGGGTTCCAGTTCCAGTCCTCGGAAATATAAGTTAATGGTCTGCAATTTAAGATATTTTCGCAATCACAGAGGATCGTATAGAGTTCTTCATATTTCAGTGAGGCATTACCTAAAACTTTTCTGAGAATGTTTTTCATCAGGCCAATCATTCTTTCCCAAAATCCACCCCACCAGGGAGAAGCTGGTGGGATAAATTTCCACTTAATGCGGTTGACAACATGATTTTTTAATAATTTTTAAAGTTTATCCCAGTCAGTCAATCATTTTTAAGAGCGAATTTGTACCAAAATTACTACCGTTATCAGTGTAGACAATTTCAGGTCTTCCTCTGCGTGCTATAAAACGTCGGAAAGCCAATAAAAAGTTATCTGTTGACAAAGACGTTAAAAGTTCAAGATGAATTGCCCTGTATACAGCACATGTAAATAAAACGATCCACGTTTTCGATCCATTTTTTAAAAACAAAGGGCCAGCTAAGTCGATACCTGTCACTTCAAAAATAGAAGAATCTTTAACACGGTCCTTTGGCAAAGGTGCGGATTGTACCGTGGAGGGCCTCGAATCAAATCTTCTACATTTAGTGCAGTTTTTCAACACTTTACGAATAGTTTTACGACTTTTCAAAATCCAGAAATTTTCTCGTAGCATTGCCATTAAAGTCTGAGTTCCGCAATGCATTTGTTGTTCATGTTTTTCCATAATCAGTTTAGAGACAACTGGATGTTCAGGAGGTAGGATTACAGGTGTTCTAAAATTTTCGAAGTCTTGTCTCATTAATATTCTTGACTTTACTCTTAAAAGACCAGATGAATCAACAAATGGTTTTAAATTTCGTAAGCGTTTATCCTTTTCTGTTTTAAAGGAGACCCTTTGCACACAATTTTCCAAACAAACTGTTTCAGCTGCATTCAATTCTTCGATTTCTAAGTTCTTTGACGTTGTTCTATTTTTATCTCTGCAGTTGTCAATCAATATACCTTTTTATCCAGGCTGTAACTCTAATTATTTTCTCAAAAGAAGAAATTCGTGAGAAATGCGAAAATTCTTCATCTACATTTGTTAACGAGGATACAACTGTTTTTCTTCTTTCTCGATCAATCATATCTTTGTCAGGAGAAATATCACAAGTAGGCCAACAGTCTGGATTCAACTTCAACCATGCTGGACCTTCATGCCATCTTTGGGCTTTAATAGTTTCAACAGAACATCCTCTTGACGGAATATCCGCAGGATTCAAGTTGCCAGGAACATAATTCCATGTATCAGGATTAGTAAGAGCTCGTATTTCTTTCACTCTATTCATAACAAATACACCCCAATTTTCTTCATTCTTAATCCAGTACAAATGTGTTCCTTGAATCTGTCCAATAAAACGTAGGTATATTTTCTTCCTTCAAATCTTTTTATTTTATAGATTTCATTAATCTTGCACCAACAACACAAGCTAATAATTCTAGTCTACAAATTGATGTGGGGTTTTAGAGAAGCAACTCTAGATCGTGCTTGAACTAAATGACAAAAAACTTTAGTTTCATTTTCATTTCTTAAATAGGTTGTATATGCCATTCGGGATGCATCACAAAATATATGAAAGGATAATTTCAATTCAGAATCAATATTAAGCATCATCTGTCGAGGAATTTTTATTTCTGTTAAACGATTTGCATCATTTTTCCATTTCATGTATTTCCTTTGAATTTCTTCAGGAAGAGCTTCATCCCAAGTTACTTTTAATTCCCAGCAGTTTTGTAACAGAATTTTAGGAATTAAAATTATAGGGCAGGTGAATCCAATAGGGTCATAAATTTTATGAATTTCAGACAAAATTGTTCTTTTAGTAACAGGTTTATTTTTCGATTCATTTAATCCCTTAATATCACAACTTAATGTGTCATCATGCAAATCCAAAGAAGTCCCAAAATGTTGACCGTTTTAGCTTCGCAAGGGTCATCTAAAAACTCATTCTCATTTAATTTATCAAGCTTCGACTGTTCTAAAATGGGTTCAACAACAAAGGCATCCCTTTCATTTCGAGGATAGTTATATGCCCACTCTTGTAATTCAAATTTAGCACTTGCCAAAATTTCAGTGGCATCATTTTTTAACTTCTTTAATTCTGATTCATTATTCACACTTGTAACTAAATTATCAACGTACCAGGGGTTCTACTAATTTATTAGCACTCGCACGATAATTTTCTGGTACTTCATTCATTAATTTCGTTAGTGTTGCATTTAAGAGAAATGGACTGCTGGTTATTCCAAAGACCACTCTTCTATGCCTGTATATTTTCAAACGCTCAGAATTTCCCTGTTCATACCATAAAAGTCTTAAATAATCTCTGTCTTTAGGACTGAGTGCTATCTGCAGAGAAGCCTTCTTAATATCAGCGCTCACGCCAATTTTTCCCAGTCGAAATCTATTTATTATAGCTGGAACAGTGTCAATCAAATTTGGACCCTTTTCCAATTAATCATTTATAGAAGATGATTCTTTAGTTTTTACAGATCCATCGAAAACCGGTCTTATTTTTGTCGTGGTGGAATTCATTCGAATAACAGCACGGTAAGGTAAATAATGAGAGGGGTTATTAACTTCTTCCTCCGAAACAATCTCTATTATTTTCTCATCTTCCCAAGATTTAAAAATTGCATCATAATCTCCTAAAAATGCCCCATCCTTTAAATTCTTCACAGTGCTCTTTAATCCTTTTTCTGCTATTTACCGATAGTTTGGAAGTGGGGAATGATTTTCAATCCAAGATAAACAAACTTGAAACCTTCTTTCTTCATCCCTTTTCACATTGGAAAGAAAATGTGTCATTGTTTGTTTTTCTAATTCCCTTTTAGTTTGACTTTTTGAATGATCTAATATCCCAAGAGTACCAAGTTTCCATAAATAAGAAATTTTACTATCTGATACCAACATAGAAAATGTATAAGAACAATAATATTTATTTTCCATTTCTATAGGAATTTTCCCCATGATTCTCCAGCCTAAATAAGTTTCAATGCGAACTAATCCACATTCTAACTTCTTCATTTTCCCTGTAAGCGATTTTCCCGCTATGTCTGCGCCTATGAGAATATAAATTTCAGAAGGAGAATGCTCGAAAAACAACTTTTTATGCCTACCTTCAACATCATTCAAAAATATGTTATGGGTTTTTAACTCATTTAAATAAGGCTTGACGTTCAATTGTGGAATATCAAAACAAATTTTCGCTTGATCAAAAGCTTTAAAGTTACACTGATAATCGTTCGTAACACTACTTAAGAGCACAATGAACTGTTTATGAGTTTCAATCATTTCGGTTCCTCCGAACAGACTATGAATCACACCTCTTTCGTTAACACATTCGTACTGCATAGCATTAGCTAAAAATTTAGTTACATAGCTTCGTTGACTCCCAAAATCCATTAAACACCGGCAGTATTTTTCTGGACCATTTCCACGCAGTTTTACTACTAAAGTTTGTAATAAAACTTCTCTAAACATGTTTTGTTCGTTAAATTGAGATCCTCCTTATTTGATTTTTTCTCATCTAAACCATTTCCGTCACAGATTAAACTATTGTGTTTCCAACCACATGAATCACACTTTATCTTCGAAAAGCAATTTTCTTCCAAATGGTTACCCCTTTTAAGACATAAATAACATATTCCGAGTTTTCGATGTGACGCCTTTCTGCCTGCTACAGACTTCGGGCAAGCATCGGAAGTATGCTTTTCTTTTTCTGAATTCTCGCAAAATAGGCAGCTGTTAATTGAAACCTTTCACACAGCTGTTGGAATAGAAATTTTCTTTTTTTCTTTAGGAAAGTGGCTCGAATTCTGCTTGTTTATTTATCTTGAATTTGTAGTATAGATTCGCGGCATTCAATTTCCGTTTTTAAGAACTCTAATAATTCATTTACATCGAAATTATCTTTAGATTTCCTTTTTCTTTGGAAATCGAGATTCAATTCATTCGGAATTAATTTTAATAAGACTGGTGTCAATAACGTGCCATATGTGCCAGAAGTTACATTAAGTGATTTCAAACTTCTTATCTGTATTTCGGTATCATCATACAACTTACGTAATGCAAATATGTTGTTAGCATTCCTAACAGGTTCTAAATTTAACAGTTTTCCCATATGTGCATTTATAATTAAATCTGTTTCGACCAAAGCGTGTTTTTTAAGTAACTCGATTGCGGCAAAATATTTTCACTTGATAATGCAAAACACTTTTACAATTACCAATAAAATGAAAAATAATTAAATTTTGTCTGTATCTGTTAATAATTTAAATTTGATCGCATTGTCAAAACTGGTTCCAAAAATGATAACCTGAAATTAAATCAACTATTAATTTATGATCAAACTGGTTCCAAATTAACAATTTCAGGATAGCCATTAAATTTATTAATCGATAATTTGGGCAATTTAAATTTTAATGAGAAAACATAAAATAAATATTTGAAATATCATTATTCACAATATTACCAATTGTATTCGAAACAGGAATTTCAGGAATTTCAGGTTTCCTTTTCTCTTTTAACATAAATGTTAGTTTTGATTTCATGGAAATTATTTTCTCGGAATAAACTTAAATTCCGATTCATATTCAGTAGCCTCAATTAATTCTAGTATTTGTTTATCTAATTCTCTTAAGCTGTTATATTTTGAATCTAATAAATCAATATTTTCATTAAGAATACACAAATCGTGTTCTGTTTCTTGGACGTATTCTTTACAATTAGTTATCAACTTTGTTGTCATACCCCTAAGTACAGTTCGCCTTTTCTTTAATTCTTCTATTTTAGTAGACATGTTTAAATATTTCAGATAGAAAATATTTCAAATTACAAATCAGTACTCTCAAGTCATAAAAAAAACTTCTCAAATCAAAAGCAGCTATTTTTCAAACATTCCTAAATCTTTCATTTCAATATAGTCTACTTCGGCGGTCCCTGTAACGGGCGCCATTAAATATATCATTTACAATTCAGTAAAAAACATATCATTCAAAATTCTAGATAAGCAAATGAAGAAATGTTGCTTACCTTTATTATCCGCGTTCTTCGATTCTGGTCCGCCGCTTTGTAAGACTATCCGATTTTGTTTCAAAACCTCATCTAAAATTGACACTATTTTTCTAGAATTATTTTATTTGGTATTTCACACAAAAGATGATCAATATCTAAATTATTACAAATCAAAAATACTTCTAACTACTTAGCGTCATTGTTCTTCATATCTAAAAGCGTCATTGTTCTAAAAGCATACACTATTCGTTGCCAGTTCTCAAAAGACAAACTTTCTTTTTCGATTCTCGTCGTTCTAGAGGCTCAATCCATTCCCCAAGAGCGGAGCATTCGTCTTTCGCGACATTTGGGGGAGTAAAATGGCAATGCAAAGGGGACTATCGGGAAATTTTAGACAACTGTTTTTTTAGGAGAGGTAATCCAGATTTAAGCTGTGAATTTTACTGAAAACAGCATGCTTATGTGATTATTTGTTCCTATTTATGAAATCTTGACGTGTCATCTGACTTTTTTTGTTTTGTTGTACTTCAAATAAAGCCATTTAGAGCTCGTAGTAAAATAAAGACTATTATAAAAAATACTTAAGAGCCAAATTTATTTTACTTTTAGAAGCGCACCCTTATTCATGCATAACGACGTAATGTCATATTTGGCACAGAACGACATTGTAATGTGTTGAGAAATATTTCTTGGGAAAGACAAGGATATTTGTAAATAAAGAGCCAAAACAATGCTTAATGATCAAAGCAGTAATGTTAAAAAAATGAAATAATAGTTTAATTTCTTGTGACAAACTTTCCGGGGTTTATTTGCCTGAAGAAAGTTATCGTGTAGGATTTTGTTAAGGTCGGTGAGTCATATTTATTTTAAGTGTAAGGAAAACCACAAAAACATACGAGCAGCTGAACCCTTGTTTAGAATTTGAGCCCTTGTTGAAACTGCAGAAATCTTATCCACTCCACCATGAGTGCATGCTAAAATAATTTTTATATTTTACAACTGTCTTGATTTTTTCTCCCAGGGAAGACCATACTCCTAGTTAAACGTTCATCAGGAATGACTAAACCTATCGGTCACTTAGCCATCACATCATCAAGAACCTACTGTCATTTAGCTATCGCTTCATCAAGAACCTATCTCACGATTCATTACAGAAGGCGGCCAAATTACACTTACAAGAAAGAAGAAGCTCTGTCCCAATTTCGTTCGAAAACATCCCATAGCTGGATCCAAACGTCCTTCTCCTCTTTTCGTCGAGGACCTTCGTCAACATAGTAATATAAGTATCGTCATGCCGCAAAGATACTGTACACTTATAATCTATTCCTGCGTTCTTTGGATTCGAATCCGGGCCCAAAGCTATAACAGATATAAATAGCATTCCTCCCATTATTTCAACAGGTAAGAGCAGCTTTATAGTATTTGCGCCTGGGCGATGTGGTTTGGCCGCCTCTCCTCAAAACAGAAATCACAATAGAATGTCTTGCAAGAGTTGCTTTGGCGCTCTCAGGGGCGTAGTTAGGGTGGGGCAAGGGGGGACATCTGTCCCCGGGCACAGTATCTAGAGTGCGCCAGTTTGCTATTATGACATTTTAGAATGAAATATTTCCAATTCTTGGCACATAGAAGGGGGCGCAAAATCTTCAGCTGCCCCCGGGCGCTGAAAACCCTAGCTACGGTTCTGGGCGCTCTCAACATTTTTTATTGTTCACCTCCTCTGCATTCGGCGCTCTGAGTGGTAGCCGAATCCCCCCGCCCCTTTAAGATCGCTGCTGCCCCGCTGATTTTATGAATCTTTTCTTGATCTCTTTATATATATAGATTTGTCTATTATAAATATACAGTAAAATGTGACCTATCATCAAATGTCTGAAATTTTATATTATCACTTGTTTGCAAGTTGTTAATTCTAAAGTTATCCTGATCTATGGAAGCCTTATTTTGTTTCTAAGGGCATAAAGACGTGAATATTCCATTTCTGGTTGTAGGATCTTCTCTTGAAGTGAACTGAAGCGGAAAATGGCAAAGAAGGTAAACAAACGCGGTGTGAAAGTAGGAAATCTACAAAATCTGAAAAAAGATAAGTCGACTTCGACGAATAAAGAAAGAAAATATGTATCCAGAAATAATCCTAACAGTGGAAAAAGTCAGAATTCCAAATACTTATGGAAACTTGATGGAATTCGTCCTTTTTCTATTGCGGCACTGGGTACAAATACTAATTTTCAGATTTTAACAAATAAATTTATCTTACAAATATTTTTGTAATGTTAAAGGCAGTGTTTCTATTGCATATAATTCCAGGTTGCTAGTTATGTATGTAAGATTCCTTAAATGCATTTGCATCAAGCTAAAATAACAAAAATTGCCATAAGTTTTATATTTGGAATCAGCATTTATAGGCCATAGATTTCATAGCACTGTGAATGCAGGTTTCTATATCAGCTGTCCATCTTTTCTTATATCTTTCATTATTTTTCGTTTCCTGATTTTGCTCGTTAATATTACATGCAGACTTCAGAATTTTAAGATCTCACCTACGAGTGACTAAAATTGAGAAACAGTAGTAATTCGTCCAGGGTTTTGTTCCCAGCATCTGAATAAAGGAGATTAATATAGCTTAAATATCTGAACATTTCTTTAGAAAGCCCTCAATAAAGGTATCTTTTATTTAGGCAAATAACCCAATTATTAGTTTATTCAATTATAATTTTGCCATAATTGAATAGTTCAGGATTTATATATTAGCAATTTTAATATGAATATGGGCTAAAGTGCAGAATCGCCCACTTATTTGTTTGGCGCTTTTTACAAGAGTAAGAAGAATTGGATTTTTGTCAATTTTCTTTGACTTTTTAAGTGAATTATGTCGATGTGTACATGGATAAAGACAATAGAGTGCGCAGTGCCATTTTTATGCAATTCTGGCATTCTTTTTTCAGTGAAAATAGGATGATGTGCACATGGATACCAAGTTAGTGCAATTTTTAAAAACATGCCAAGCAGTGGGTGATTCTGCACTTTTCCCTGGATATGTATTCAGTATATTTGTTGCCACCATCTGCACGTATGCTGTTTAAGTTTCTCAAGAGTTCCTGTTCTTTTTCTTTGTGGTGTTCTATGTAATATTGGAACAGCTTTAGTATTGGCCCTTTTGGCGATTTTTTGATTTGGCGACAAACTTCGGTCGCCAATGTATACCCGGCTTTGAAGATCGGGAAAAAATGGCGGATTGTCAACAAAACCCAATCTAGACTAAATAACAATCCTAAAAAATAAGCTCTTAATCAGAATAAACAGTCTTTCTCTAATTTTCAACATTTCTAGTACTGCTATGATAAATTCTTGAAACACTACCGTAAATGAATTTATGGCAGTGATTATGTTATGAGTAATGAAATTTACAAAAGGTTAATATTTTAAATTACAAAATATAATATTAATGTATTAAACATTAATATTTTAAGTAGTTAGTTAATATTTATATTATATTAGTACTTAGCTAATATTTTAAATTTACAAAAGGTTAATTTTTATGTTATGAATAATGAAATTTACAAGAGGTTCATAAATGCATTTCAAACTAGTAGTATATGTTACTTTAGTTTCTTAGATTCTGTTATTAAAAGAAAGTAAAAAAATATTTCAAAGTGAAGGAAATCAAATTAAATTATAATGAGCAAGTTTTGAAACAGCGTTAGAAATACTTTTTATGATTAAATTTTGTAAATGGTAAAAATATTAAGAAGTGTGTATTTTTTAATCCCTAAATTTATTAAGTAATTTATGTTTATAATTTAAAAGCTAAAATTAAATTATCATAATGAGTAAATTTTGTACCAATGGTAGTAATACAACAATCATCATAAATGATGATTTCTGTGAAAAATTCGAACAGTCATTGGAATCCACTAGTGTTGGAGTGATAAGCCACTGAACAGTGGTAGTTCAGGCTGGCTATATGGGAGTTTTTGTGGTTTTTCGTACATGGAATGTGAATCTGATCCAGTTTCTCTTAAAAAGTACTTTATGAAGGCATCCTTCTTCTGCTAGCCAACATATACATTTATTTTCTTATTTCTTAATTCTAAATCTTACTTCTGAAGTGAAGAAGTGTTGCATCTATAGGTCGAAAAATATGGTCAATATGTTTGCAAAATCCTGTTCAGTTTTGGACAGCATTTAAATAAAATAAATAATTTGTATATGATGCAAAAAAAAATGCATTACACTATTTCATGTAGTGAATAATTAATCAGGGCACAAAGTATAATGTAACATTCTTTATTTTGTAACCAGAGTTATTTTATGCTTGGGATCTTTACTATCAATTTCATCCATCCATTTTCCCACCAGAATCTAAATGAAGTTTTTAGTTTGTAAAACAAACCGTGTTTTGCCTTTCGTTACTACCACGTTACTAGGTTGCTAGATAAATAAGATTTGTAGTCTTCAGTCTTGCATTGTAATTGCTGATAGTTGAATTCCATGCCGTTTAAGTTTTTAACCAACTTTGCATTAAATTGATTTATTTGAATTTAAAATTTTACATTTGAACTTAATTGTTATCATAAGTTATCTTGCCACAAGTGGTTGACTGAGTTGTAAGCACAAAGTGTGCCTTCTGTTCTGTACATCTAAACTTTATAAGAGAATAAAAGTATATCTTAACTTAATAAGAATATATCTAAACTTTATAATAATAACATTTAAAGACATTGAAATCAGTATCTAAGTGCTTGCCATGTAGTCAAATTTTTATATATAAATTGTACTCTTACTTTTATTATAGAGTTTTTATAACAAAAAATTCAGATTTCTGTTAGATAAAATGTTTAAGTGATGTAGAAAAGTGGCATAAAATTTAAAATAAAAAGTTGACTGTTATGTCAACATACTATTAATAAAAGTAATAACACTCAGTGAAAGTTATTCATATACAGCTATTAGGTTGTAAGATTTACAAAATTTGAGAACTGTAAATTATAAGCTATATATTCCATAATCTAAGCAACATTATATTTTTTATAGTCAGTCAAATTCTAAAAATGTTATAAAAGCAATAATTTTGGTCCTGATTTGAACCTATGAATTCATGCAATTACACGTCCCTATAGTTCTAATATGAGTCAAAAAAGTATTTTTAGACCATGGTAATTTTGATCTCCTTAGCAAAGCAAACACAAAGAGTTTACCTCATGCTACTGAAAATGTGTTTTTTTTTTCTTGGGGGGTGGAGTTTATAATAATATGCAGAGTTGGGTACTATTCGGTTTCGAGGGCCGTAAAAAATCGCCAAACTATTGTTGATGCCAATGCTGCCAAACATAATTATGGCACCCTAATAATTGCGGAAAGAAAGGAAGTATAATAGTAAATAACTATCTAAGATTGATGTTTTAATTTAGATGAAAGGTTAATTTCATATAATACTTTTTTATTATTATAATTTATATGAAAAATACTAAACATGACTGAATGGAAGCATAAGAGTAAATAACTATTTCAGATCATTATTATAATTTATATAAAAATTGCTAAACTAAACTGAATGGATGCCTGCATTGCTATTTCGCTACCGACTTATCGCTAAAGCATAATTTCATCTCGTTGTTTGTTCAAACGTAATTTTCTATAATGAATGATGCCTTTTCTTTGAAAATATTCTTGGTAAAGTGCAGAATCGCTCACGTATTTGTTTGCCGCTTTTTACAAGGGTAAAAACAATTGAATTTTTGCCAATTTTCTTTGACTTTTTAAGTAAAAATAGGTTGATGTGTACATAGATAAAGTCAAGAGTGTGCACAATGCCATTTTTGTGCAATTCTGGGATTTTTTTAAAGTTAAAATAGGTCGATGTGCACAAGTGGATACCGAGTATGTGCAATTCTTAAAAACGCGTCAAACAATGGGGGATTCTGCACTTTACCCAAAATTCTATTGCCGACTTTTTGTCATGGGCAATTCCCAAATTGTTAAATCCATAGGATATTAAAAAGGGGGTTGATCTTTACAATATGGTAACTGGTAGTTTGGCGACATTTTGGAGGCGATAAAGGTTACTACCTGGCACTTTGGTAATAATGTGAGCAGTACTCAGTTCCGATTACGCATTATTTTGTGTGAGGGAAATGAGAGATCATGGGATATGTCATGTGATATTAATGGACGAATTACGGTTCTTTAATCGGAAAAGGGGGGAAATCGGGAAAAAATCTGGAAATTTTGTATTTGGCTTTATTCTGTGTTGTGTGAAACAATGTTCGTGAATTTTTGGATCCCATGGCCGTAACTAAAGTGAATTCGAAATGGGTATTTATGTATGTATTAATTTAATGTATGTGCTCATTTATATTTAAGTAGTGTTTTTGAATTTAATATATTTTAATTAAATGATAGTTATTTTGTAAATTTTATGTTTGTAGGAATTTGGTATACGTTTTAGTTGAATTAAATGTGCATGGAAATAATATAAATATCTGACATATATGTTCTTTTTACCGGGTTTAAAGATTGAGAAAATTGTCATGTATTTTCGTGAAATTTTTCTAATTTATGAGAAAAAAGCAGTGTACATGGATATAGTGAAGAGTGTGCGTAATGCCATTTTTGTGCAATTCTGGGATTTTTTTTAAGTAAAAATAAGTCGGCGTGTACATGGTTTAGTGATATTTTAATTAAATGATAGTTATTTTGTGAATTTTATGTTTGTAGGAATTTGGTATATGTTTAAGTTGAAGTAAACGTGCATGGAAATAATTTAAATATTTGATACTAAGTATTTGTAATGCTTGCGGTATGAATTCGTTGGTGACGTGTATAATAATAGATTTAGAGGTAAAAGTTTTGGATATTTTATTTATTTTATATTTGGAAATGTTCATATTTGGAAAGGGTAAATACTTTTTCGCGATCAGGTAATTTCATATATATTCTTTTTACCGGGTTTAAAAGATTGAAAAAATTGTCATGTATTTTCGTGAAATTTTTCTAATTTATGAGAAAAAAGCAGTGTACATGGATATAGTGAAGAGTGTGTGCAATGCCATTTTTGTGCAATTCTGGGATGTTTTTTTTTAAGTAAAAATAAGTCGGCGTGTACATGGTTTATGTGTATGTGTTATTTTGAAAAACACGTAAGGAGTATGGTATTGTGCACTTTTTCCCAATTTTGCAGTGAATATTTGTCATGATTAAGCAGTTTTGTTA